ACACACACACACACACACACACACACACACACACACACACACACACACACGGTAGAGTACAGTAGAGGAGTAGGAGCAGTATTACTTGGGTCCAGTTCAGTGTGTGGGGGTCCAGCAGGCTGGAGGTCCGTGGTTCTGAACAGAACTGTTTCTGTGAGTGCTCCATCAGGTTTTCATCAGAACCTTCCCTCAGGTTCTTCTGGACCTGCAGAGACACATGTTGACACAAGTGCTTCATGTGAGACACGAGATGAACCAAAGACCAGCAGAACTAAAGACTCAGACCTGTTCTGGGTCCAGCTTGGAGGCCTCCAGGTCTTCTTGTGTGAGCTGCAGACAGGCAGGAACACTGGACGCAGCGCCCCCTTGTGGCCATGACAGGAAGTGTCAGAAAATCCTGTTTGGTTTTAAATGTTCGTGTTAATGAAACATGACGACTGTTGTGTCAGTTACCAGTGAGCTGAGACTCAGAGACGGTGCAGAGGACAGAGTCCAGCTTCAGGCTCCTGGAGCAAACCGGACCCTGAAAGATGGACAGACTGAATCCCTGATGGCTTCATGATCTTATAAACTCGTAACTCCATGAGTTCTACCTGCTCCTGCTGCCGTTTGGAGGTGATGCAGTTCCTGTTCTTCACACCTTCTACTCCACCTGAGCTTGTTATGACAACTGGTGCTGACTGACTGTCTCCCTGGAGACTTCTGACCACGCCCACCTGAAGATCCGCGATGTAGGAAGAGGCGGAGCCAAACTGAGAGGTCCAGCCATGTGACAGATTCCTGAGACGACGAAATAATGAAAGAATTCAGGTATACTCTGAGGGATGTTTACCTTTAGTCACTGTGTACCTGTCTGTGTATCTACAATATGTACCTGTCTGCGTACCTACAATAAGTACCTGTCTGTGTATCTACAATATGTACCTGTCCGTGTACCTACAATATATACCTGTCTGTGTACCTACAATATATACCTGTCCGTGTACCTACAATAAGTACCTCTCTGTGTACCTACAATATATACTTGTCTGTGTACCTACAATATGTACCTGTCCGTGTACCTACAATATATACCTGTCTGTGTACCTACAATATGTACCTGTCCGTGTACCTACAATATATACCTGTCCGTGTACCTACAATAAGTACCTGTCTGTGTACCTACAATATGTACCTGTCCGTGTACCTACAATATATACCTGTCTGTGTACCTACAATATGTACTTGTCTGTGTACCTACAATATGTACCTGTCTGTGTACCTACAATAAGTACCTGCCTGTGTACCTACAATATGTACTTGTCTGTGTACCTACAATATGTACTTGTCTGTGTACCTACAATATGTACCTGTCTGTGTACCTACAATAAGTACCTGCCTGTGTACCTACAATATGTACCTGTCTGTGTACCTACAATAAGTACCTGTCTGTGTACCTACAATATGTACCTGTCTGTGTACCTACAATAAGTACCTGTCTGTGTACCTACAA